TTGGAATTACAGTGCCAGGCTTTACTAAGGGTTTTCTGACTAATAAGTAAGCATCAGGTAGCACCAACGGTAGCAACCTACCACCAATTTGACATTCCTTTTTGAGACTGGGACGTTTGTTCGTCATTAGTTTGTTCGGCTAATAGACCTTTTCATCTCAGTAGTTGTCTGACCAGCAGATAGTCTGACCGGCAGATAGTCTAACCGGCAGATAGAAGGTGCTGATGCACTCATTGCAATTAGGTTGCTTCAATTTGTTTGATTTCGCTTTCACCGTGCATGCGGCTGTGTGATTTCGGTTTCCATGTGATTGTGTTGATGTTTTATGTCATTTTTGCTTAATTTTGCGATACAAATGTGTCCCTTGCAGCCCACAACCAATGAAACAATGGTACTGAGCCACTTTGACAACCACTAAGTGGTTTTTAGCCTCAATTGCAGGCATTTTTACTAACACCTTTGACACATCTGATTATCTCCATCGTTAATTTTGGCTAGGTTCGGTGGCGAAGCGACTGAACTGATGCACAGTGAGGATTCAAGTCTATGGTCGTATTCAATGACACTAGTTTGCAGAAAAATGAACGACTGAAGAGAACAATGCATCATTGCATAGTGAAGAAGCAGGTCCACAACCCATTTAACAATATACTGAATTATGAAGAACAGATGCACTTGCAAGTTCAGTGCTCACTGTCTAGTTTTCGTGGACATCAACTGTTTGTGAACTTCGCAGACTGGAAAGTCTCGTATAGTGACGCAGGTAATCTATAGAAGGAAGTGATATTGTTTCTGTCTGTTTCGGACATTTCTTTCATTGTCAGCCCTGCTAAAGTACTCATTAACAGCATATCAGGATATTGGCATTAGGAAATACAAATTCGCTTAGGGTGTACTCGAGGTATCATATAAGTGAAAGACTCGTCAAGTTATACCTGATAGCTGGCTTCCGTAAAATAAAATTGAAAGGCGCAATAGAAGAGACATCAGAAAGTTCGGCAAATGTCGAACACAAGGCAACATGCCACTTTATGAACCTGTGTAGATCAATGTTTACTTGTTTGAACAGACGTGCTAGATGCAGTCAACTATCATTAAATCAAACTCCAGGAAGCCACAAATCTGTTTGAAATATCAAAAGTCTAAATTATCAGAAATTCATCGAAATATGATGAGGCAAAGTAGCAGTTTGTTATAGGAATAGCTACACATACCAAGCAGATTCTTTTACTCTCCTATACACAGGCCTACTTATAAGCAGCCGCACATAAATCATTGGTGAAGTTCAGGGAATAGTGGTTTTGACCCAAGATTTTCTAATTGAATATTGAATAGTCTCTCCAAGCCTTTTACTACAATTTGAAATGACAGAGTTGACATAAAACTTAATCTAAAAATACGCCCAGCTATCCTAATCGAGGGAATTTATAAATCTGCTTGATATATGCCAATATTCTTTCTTTAATCTAAAGTTTAAACCCCTCAAAAAATAAAAAAATCAAGCACGAATAATGAAATCAGATTGTCAGGACAGTTCTGCTTGCATTATTGCGGTGGGTCAGTCCCATCGAGTGCACTTCTCATTGAGCACAATGCTAGCCATTGAAAATAAATCTCTTCACCATCGGCAGCGTCGCGTTCGGGCGATTTTCAAGCAGACATTTTTTTCTCGGCGTTGCATATTACGGGCCCCTAGGCACTCTCACGCTCTCTGTGAAATTTTTGTGTGTGAAGTCCCAAGTTTTATATTTAAATGAATTAAATTGAACTGGCTCATTTAAGCAAGTCATAGAGCCCTAAAAAAGCTTCAGACATGAACAAAACACGGTGTAGTTTCTTCTAAGTTGATAAAGCTAGTTTATGTTGCAAATGCAATTAAGAACATCAAACATATGTAGGTGTAATAGTGTGACAAAACAATTTGCTTGATCCTGACGCACCGCGATGCCTAGATTTAGATAAAATGCACATTAAACGTTTGTTGCCTATCTTTTTCACAAGTGGAAGACTCGTGGAAAAGATAATGTAAAGCAACTTTTATGAATGAAAATGATGATGCTGTCATGAAACAGGGCTGTTTATGCTGATTGTTTTTGCCACCTTTTTTGCGTCTTATTGTGAATGTTGCGCCGCTATTAGTAAGCAAACCTGAGTTACATTGGCTTTTGAACCTTAGTGCTATCTTAGAATCGTATATATACTCAATGTGCGTCAGTGCTAATGTTGATTGCCGTGCCTGATATGGCCTCCTCACATGTATCCGGGAGTCAGACGGTGAAAATAGTCAAGACGTGCTACAGAACTTGGCTGTGTAATGTGGTAATGCAATTAAGTAGCAACATATAAATATTGGATGACAATTTCGAAGTAAGGAAATAAAATCCGGTAAAATGCAAGGAAAAACGTCAAACAATGCATCCACGAAGGTGCGGAGGGGAGAGCAGAGCGACAAGTTGAAGCAACCTAATGGCGGCCGCATCATGCGATTCCAAGATGGCAGCACCTATGCGGGGGTGGGCGAAGAGGCCTTTGAAACGAGCATCCAGAATTGGGTTAGGCAAAATTCTACCAAATGTACCTCAGAAAAAAAAAAGGAAAAAGAACAGTGTCTTTTTACCTCTGCTAAAAAGCTACACGTCGCAGGAAAGTGAAACTACAGTGGTTGGGGTAGAACTCAAGTTTGAGAACATGACGTTACTTGAACAAATAAAGGAAAAGAAAAACCAAGCAGGCATCCATCTAAGCCTAATATAGTAAAAATAACTGACATTTATATTGGGTAAAAACTCTTAGCGGCAAGAAAGAAAAAGTTTCTTCGTGTCAAGTGTTTCTCACCGATATCGATCCGTCCGCAGTGCAAGTTCTTGTTCACACAATATTAGGTTTAGGTGGACAGCAGCAGCTCATAAAACAATTTGTTTTTCACTTTTAATCTTTGGATCCAAGTAACGTCACATTCTAGCCCAGTCGTTAACGTCGCATTCTCGCAGTTTCAGCTTCCTGCGGTGCAGTTGATTTACGCAGTCCGAAAAACAATTATTTTGTATCAAGAACATTTGTACATTTGCTGTTGTTTATTTGGCTTCATTCTTTCAATAGAAGCCAGTATGTCCACACTTAGGGTGTGCTCAGTCAGTCTTAGAAATGGTACTCTTACGGATTATACTACGCTGTACAAGGCTAGTGACATTGCTCCCTTGCGTGTCGAGGATTTGTTTCTTGTTGATTTACAGTTCCGCTTTGTCCGTGGTTTTATGTTGTTTAGACACTCTTTCAGCCCTTGAATGCAATGTCAAAGGCTGCTGGGAATGTGGCCTTTCTGCAAACAGATTTTGCTACAGCAGCTCATCACATGTTTAAACAGTAGGCTGGGTCTGTAGGTCGATGTGCTCATATCATGACAAACAAGTGGTGTAGCATATAGGGTGGTAATATGCCGGGTGTTTTCGCAACGACTTTCAAAAATCCTAAAAATTAGGGCGTTTGAAAAAAAAAAAGAAACTGTCTTTGGGAACAAACTACCAGCCACGGCGGACGTCACGAATTGCCAAAAACATACTAATTAGCCAGCTAATTAATAAAAATTTGTTAATTAACTTTTTTATTAGTGGAAATAGACATAGGGTTCCAATTAGAAAGTTGCTGAGCGTTATCGAATACCACTAGATCAGTCATCTTCAGAAAGACTTTCAGCAAGTGAGAAGAGTAGTAGCGCACTAAAGTTACCACTCGTGGAGCAGGTACAAGGCTGGGGCTAGATAAGAGGCGGAAAAATCGCGCGGGCGGCTTACCGCAACCGCTAGCCTTGTACCTGCTCCACCAGTGGCAACCTTTTGTGTGCTACTACTCTTCTCGCGCGCTCAGTCTTTGTGAAAATGACTGGTTAGGTGGTTTTCGATAACGCCCAGCAACTTTCCAATTAAAACCCTATGTCTATTTCCACTAATTAAAAAGCTAATTAACAAATCTTAATTACTCAGTTGACTAATTAGTATGATTTTGGCAATTCCTGACGTCCACCGTGGCTGGTAGTTGGTCCCCGAAAACAGTGTCTTTTTTTTTCAAACGCCTTAATTTTTAGGATTTTTGAAAGTCTTTGCAAAAACACCCGGTATAGTGTTATATGAAAACCTTTCTCATCTGGTAGTTTTACCAGTTGTGGATATTAAATATTGACTGGTGACAAAAGCATGATTTATTAGTCTTGCAATTTCACTAATATCCTCTTTAACATGCCCCCTTCCTTATCATTACAATGTTACATGCAACTTTCCCCCTGTTGAGAATAGTGCTGCAGGTTACCATGCGCCAATCCCTCTAGCAGAGATGCCATTTTTTCCTTTACCTTTTCTGCAGATTCTGCGTTGGCATTTTTCTTATCGGTGACATGGGAGTCTTCCAGTGCATAAGTTGTCCGGTATCCAGTCTGTACTAGAAAATCAATGTCTTGTTACATGTGATGATCTTTTCTAGAAAGTTGAGTTTTGCTGTGAATCGTTCCATGAAGTTAGTACAAATGTGTTTCCAGGTGCCTTTCTGTTCCTGACCGAGCAGAACGTGAAAATTAGCAAAATTTTCTGCAACGATTGGTGATCAAGTATTTGATGATAACAAATATGGGGAGCGCACTTGAACCGATTTCATGGGAGGACTTGCAGCAGAACCAGACTCAGTGAGAAAGGTCAAGACGTGTTGCAAGAAGTATATTTTTTTCAGTACAATACGGAAAAGGACCATGTTGTATATTCCACCTACATCACCCTGTTCTGGTTTTGTGTTGTATAATAAATGTGTGTTGATCCCAGGCCGTTTTTGTCTAGCCACATCAGTTATAGCATGATGTAAAGGAGTTCTTCATATGGCAGATACCTTTTATTTCTTGAAGCCGACATAACTGCCATCGGTGGATGGGAACTCCCGTCGAATTCGTTGCACGGCGCAGCTGGGCAGTGGCACCCGGTTGCCGCGCTCCAGCTTATGGTGAACCCACCAAGTGAATTGCCGGTAGGCAGTGTAGCGGTGCCTCCTAAAATGAGATGATTGCATGAAGTACCAGTCAGTTGCCAGTTCAAGAGAATATAATAGAACCTAACTGCTATTTACAAGAATTTTCTCAATGTCTAGTATATGGTAGTAATATCGATAATGCAGGAAGAAGCGTACGTTTATATTTTTTATGACTTGCCATCACCGAGGTCAATCGGTCATTAGCATTTATAAAAATTTACTTCTCGTTACACAATTTTGTCATTTTTCCTTGAGGTATCGCACCCAACCATGCTGCAATGATGACCTGTATATATACCAGTCGCTATCTGTATTATCTAAAATGCTATGAATACAGCGATGGACGAGCTTGAAAGCAAATTTTTTTGAATAGTCAACTCTTCATAGATTGTGCATGTTTACACATGTGCTTTATTTGGTGACAACTATTTTCTGCCATGTTGCAAAAGATAGCGTAGCTGCGATAGTGCTTTAACTGTCAAAGCTAGTTGTGCGACAGCATTTGAATGAGAATAAACACGAAGCCATGTGCTTTTGCAGCAGTGCGTAGCTGAAGCACGGTGGAAGCTACATTTGCCTCGACAATGCAGCACAAAATAGGTGATGCCGAGTACGGTGCAGGCAATACAAGTTACAACTCCTCCATGGTGGTTTATCCTTTTATCTTACAAATCTAGAAAAAAATGGAGCATAAAAAAACTGGAATCATGGAATGTTGATTTCTGAAGAAGAGGCAGTATCAAGTGAGAAAATCATCTTGCTTACATCATGACTTCTGCTAGAATTTCAATATACATACTCTTGTGGGCCCCTGTCTCCTGCATCAAGAGGGCAGAAGTACCGGAGCTTGAGGTACTCTAGGTCCAAGATGTCGGTGTTTAGGCAATACAGCTCGAACAAGGGGTGCTTTGTAACACAAGGCACCCCCTGGTCACTGCACATACGCACCACATTGTGCAACTCCCTGCAGCACACCGACTCCTCGACTGTCTGCATTGGTCTACAGACGCTGCCACAGGAAAACCTGTTAGTACAAAGAGATTTGTTTTTCTATTTATTCACCCTTAATATTCTCGAGACCTAGAGAGTGTGTGGTATGTACAAATATGTTCGTGAAAAAGTACTAAATTCGCACAACCTTCACAACCTGTGTTCTTTACATCTTTGGTTTGCAAGCACTGACAGTAGATTACATTCCTTCAGGGAAGATTAGTAGCCGAGCATGTTGAACGGAACATGAAATCGCAGAACCAGCTGGGGTTGCTGGGCTCTGTCCATCCATCTCCTGTTCGATCTCGATGAGCATCGTACCGCCGTGTACCGTTACTACATGACATACTGCACTGACGCAATGTCTCAGCTACAGCGTGAAGCACTGTTGCTGCACTACGGCAGGCCGTCTTCAGCGATAAGTGTGAGCGAAGATGCTACCAGAGCGAGCGCGATGCTTTGAGCGGGACCGCTGCGCACGCGCGAAGGGGAAACGTCGTGCAAAACCACCTCGGGCTTGTAGCATGGCAGCACTGGTTACGTACGCACTTGCGGCGGAGCAGGCTCTGGCAGATTGTGTTGCTACATCACGAAAATAAAAATCGCGAAAGACGAGGACAAGTGGAAGACTACACAGGACAAATCCTTGTCCTGTCTAGTCTTCCACTTCTCCTTGTCTTTCGCGCTTTTTATTTTCGTGATGTTTAACCAATTAGACCAACAAATTATTTCGCTACAGATGTTCCCTGCAAGATTGAGCCCTCGCGCGGGGAAAGCTCTTTCAAAGGCCACACGCGCTTTTTGGTTCGAAACTTGCCTTTTTATACATCGTTCTGTCCTTTCCATAAAAGTGTTTCGCAGCACATTCATTGCCGTGTTCGAGCGTACGTACACTTTTGGATAGCCGCCGTTGCAAGCGTACTTTAGCTACTGATCTTTGTTAACGCGAGCGCTCCTTCGACAAAACCACGTTTCGCAAGCTTATCAACAGAAGTTATACGCTGACACAACGACCTGGTTTACACAGCGTACTTTCATCATTCATGACAGCGCGGCTAGAGCGCTGTCCTTAAATCGCCTCACTGCACGTTCGCGCGCGAATGCATTCGCGGATTCTTCTGTGACTAGGCTCACCAATTTGCCGTGCCGAAGCGCCGGGCTGATGGCGGATGTGGGCTGCCTGGCCAGCCTGGCGTTTCCGGAGAGTCGGACGACTCCTCGTCTGTTGCGGTCGACGATGCATGGTGCTAAGCCGAATCGCTTTTCGCCCACCATAGCCACTAGCGATCTGTTGACGTCTTTGTCTTCGCTAATGTCATCGTACCCACTGCCGCTGCCATAACTCTCGTCATGTAGACCCGCCATCGCACACTCAAGGCAGTTGAGGCAGCTCTGACACTTCTGCTGCCTCTGCGGCTCTGCTGGCTCTGCCGGCTCCGCGATATCTACACTCCTTGGGTACTTCGACAAAGCGAGATTGTAACGCGTTGACACCTCCCAGTGGCAAAACTCGTCACTACGGTACGCTTGGTCCTCCGAGGCATGATGACGTGAAGACGTCTGCCAGATCTCCCGAGATGCATCGCGCTCTTCGATGGCTGAGTTTGAAGCGCTCGCCAAAATCCCGGCATTTAGAACCAACAATATAGCCATCTGCTCAAAATACGACCGTGCGATTATTCATTAACAGGCTTAGCTGATCAAATTGAACTCATTTCTTCAAGTTTTCTCTAAATTTCAAGTTTCGATTCTGTATCCCTTTAAACAGAGCCGCGCCGCGTGTCGGGCAAAAGCGGCCAGGCTCGCCGTGTTTTCGCCAATGCGTTGTGTGGCGTGCGCTCGTTGTTGACTTTGGGGACCCCTTTAGCTTTATTTGTGCGTCGTATTTCTGTCAAAGTATGTCGTACCCTATGCCTGACTGTTTGAGCTCACTACCGGAACCTGAACGGCAGCGGTATCGAGACAAACTGTGTGGACGGCGTTTTCTTATACGATCCGTACGCCGTAAACAAGGCCTGCTGGACTTCCGACGTGAACTTGGTGCCACCAACGTCGATGGCTCACGTCGTCGCTTATTTAGTCTTTTCGCCAAGCCAATTCACTGCCGACACGATGCAGGCGTATACAAGTCTCTCAAGGCCTACGATTACTTCGAGCGGAGACCGCGCTGCCGGCGGGATCAGCAGATTGTTAATCTGCGAAAGTGTATTTATTAACTGATTAAAAACACACAGCGTCCTTCGAGTCCAGGTATGATATTTTCTTACACTCATGACCACAAAGCACAAAAGCGGTAACGCTTTGTCCATTGTGCCGCCGACCTCCCTCCACTTGGTAGCACGGGCATATCTATAGTCAGCGACGACCGCTTGGCCGGTGTTTTGTGCGCGAACACCGTGGGAAGAAAATCTGGGTAATCTCGATAAGACGATGGTTTCCCTGCACATAAGCAAGCCTGGGGACGGAGATTGAAATGGAAGCCATACTTGCCTTCAACAAAGTGCTTGCCGCACAAATGGTCCGCGCGAGGCGACTATTCTTTTCGATACACGGATATTATCCACCCTCTTCGCCTTTCAGAGTCCGCCGGGAACTTGTGAAAACTCACTCCGCTACTTTTGCTCTACCTTTCGACGCAATTAACGGCTACACAGCATTGCGGCATGCTGAAGTGCTATGACGCCCATGCAAAACATGCGCCTTTTTGCCCACACCACCCGGCTCCGGCGCGATCGCAGCGCCGCCGCAGCTCCGTGACGTCAAGCCCGCGTGTCGGTCTATAGACCGTTTTATCGTGGGTAGCGCCATTTTGAGAGCGAGAGAGAAAAGGGGAAAGGGCCCCGGCGCTTTCCCCCTTTCTGATTGTGTAGAAAGAGTGAAAGTCCCGGATGAGAGGCTTGGCCGGTGTTGGGTGTCTGCTGTGCCCCAACTTCGTTCGCGCTTTCTTTTCTGTTTTAAACTCGCAAACTTATAGCATCCTCGATCATCCGCACCGGTGCGCACCGGGGCACTGAGGTGCGCCCCTTCATCTTCGATCAAGTGCACCGGTGCGCACCAGACATCCTCGATCAACGAAGCGCACCCTCCCGGTGCGGCTTTTCGTTGCCCCAACGCGCACCAAGAAAATCGGCGGTGCGCCGGGGGGCAGTCCCATCAGGCATTGCGGCCAGGAGCGGGAATCGAGAAGATGGCGGGAGTAGCAGACGCGCAGAATACCGAGATGGCGATCTTGCAAAAACGAACACGCCTCGCAGCTGCACTAGATGATTTCCTCGGGTCTTCTGACGGCGAGACGACAAGCTTCTCGCCATCGCTGTGATTACTGGCGATTGCTGCGGTGGCAAGGAGCGCCCGGAAAGCACGAACTTCGTGGTAAGCGGCGCGAGGCGTTTCGATGACAGCGAGGTACGGCTATTATCTGGTGTTTCGTTTTTTTGAACCAATAATGATGGCCAACATATACATGTGGAATTGTCACCCGCTTCGTGACCCCATTGACAATCACGTCCACTATGTTTATTTCTGTGGGACCGTCAAATCCGCGAGTAAAAGAATAGAAGAAATTGACAGCAGACGGGCACCGTGCGCTGACCTGCGCAAGAAAAAACGAACAAAACGTGAAGTGACGCAAGGTGGAGCTCGCCGCGGTGCACCGGCGCGGCGCAGTTTGTCCTCGATGTTGCACCGACATCGCGCTGCACGACCGAGGAGCGCTGTGCACTGTGCTGGTTTCAGGGCGATTCGGGTGCGAGTTGATCGAAGATGCTATTAATTAGAGCCACGGGCTTCGATGGCAACAGTCCCCCGGTCATCGGGACACCATTGCTCGGTCATAGGGTGCACGAATAACGAGAGAAAGCGTCGAATACTGCCCAAGGACCTCGTAGCTTGCATGGAATCCGGCAAGGCGAGTGCGGCTGTAATGTTTTGGAGTTCCACCACTTTCCGCATAACTGGAAATGATGAACCATTCATAAATTTTTGCTTGCAATAGGCCTATTTCAACGTAGCCGTTTTTAGTCATGAACAAGCGATACACGAAACGGGAACCTCAATTAACTTTTGTAAACACACGGAGCTGCTACAGATCGTTTTGCTGCGCTGCTTTTATCTTGCGTGTCCGTGTTCTTATATTTCCTTGTGGATGAACGACGAAGACGTTCTAGGTGTGCTTATATCGAACAGCAGAAAGCCTCAAAGCAGCCACGAATTATTTTACTATTTGATGCAATATTTTGGGTACTAACCTCCAATTTCTGTCACTGACACGTTCGCTGCCGCTGTTCCCCTCGTCGCCGCACTGGCGGATGCCTGGAGAAACGTGCACACTGGGCTCGAAGACGCAGATCGCAACACACGAGACGTACCCTGCAGCGACTATCCAGCGCTTCAAAGCGCCCAATCAACAGAAACAACCCACCAGCGGCACTCCAAGGAGCGCTTTTGCCGGCTCTCTGGTATCGCGCAGGATATCGCGATTCAGGAAAACCGATAGAACTACCTTTTCAACAATTTCTAGCCTCACCCGGTGGCGGAAATGAACCTTCAACTAAGTGTTGTAAATGATGAAATCGAGTCAGTCACCACTGCAAATTATCAATATTAAGATAAATTCAGTTACAAAATTTTACAAGCTGAAACAGCAATTATCACGAGAAAACTGGCACGCACCTTGCGAGCGTACCCCATGTTCATCGGCGGTACAGCGTTCGGTACGCGCTCCATTCACAATATGTTCCAAGCACAGTCGAGAGGATGGCGTTTAGGAAACGTCTTTTCGGTTTACGGACGCAATCCACTGCCGCCAAGACCGGGGTCATGTGAAAAGCGATGGAGCTTCAAAACATTGCAGCCGCACTTGCCTTGCCAGATTCCATGCAAGCTATAGAGGTCCTTGGGCAGTATTCGACGCTTTCTGTCGTTATTCGTGCACCCTATGACCGAGCAATGGTGTCCCGATGACCGGGGGACTGTTGCCATCGAAGTCCGTGGCTCTAATTAAGTTTGCGA